TGGCGGGCCGGGAGCACGGGGCCGCCGCGGGAGGGGGCACCGGGTTGGGCTCCCTCATAGGGGAGCTGAGGGGACTCTGAGCCGGTCTGAGCGGCCCTTGGGCCTCCCCTGAGAGCTTCGGGTGTCCAGGGTGGCTGGAGGGAGCTCTAGGAAGGGCCCCTGGGCTCAGGGCTCATCTCCAGGAACTCCCTGTGTGGAGGTTTTTCTTCCTGCGTCCCTCAGGGCTTGGTGGGGAGATCCAACAGGACGATGCAACAGGCTGCACAGGGAAGCCATGGAGGCCCCGTCCATGGCAGCGTCTAAGGAACGTGTGGATGAGGGGCTTAGGGGCAGGGTTTAGCAGGATGGTGTTGAGGGGCTTATGGCTGGACTTGATGATCTCAAAGGTCTTTCCCAACTGTAATGATTCTGTGATGGGAGCCCCCCATCTGCATCCCCAGGATGATGTTTCCTGGCTGTTTCTGTATTATTGCGGAGGTTGGTCTCTTCTCTAGGATAACTACCACTAGGACAAGAGGGAATGGCCTTAAGTTGCACCAGGGCAGGTTCATGTTGGATATTAGGAAAAATTTCTACACAGAAAGAGTCATCAAGTGTTGGAACAGGGTGCGCAGGGAGGCCCTGTCCGTGGCAGCATTCAAGGAATGTGTGGATGAGGCGCTCAGGGTTTAGCAGGATGGTGTTGAGGGGTTTATGGTTGCACTTGATGACCTCGAAGGTCTTCTCCAACCGTAAGAGCTCTGTGACCTGTGACTGGACCTTCCCTCCTGCAGGTGAGATGCAGGCTGACGGGCCACGAGATGCCGTGCAGGCTGGCGGAGCTGCAGGCATACACCAACGGCAGGAGGTACCAGCGGCTCACAAAGGCAGCCAGGGAGTTTGACTACAGCAAGTTTGAGCCCCACGTAGTGCCGAGCACCAAGAACCCGTAGGTAGCAGCCCCGCCGCGCGCCTTGGGCGAGCTGCGAGAGCTCCTCACATGTTTGTGGGCTTTGGTGGGTTGGGAAAGTCTTTATAAAGTGTTCGTTAACTTTGGCTATAGTGCTTAAAAGTGGAAGATTATGAAATAATGGTATAATTGAACGCCATTGCCTGCTCTTTCTCTCCCTGTGTCTTAAGGCATCAGCTGTTTTGCAAGCTCACTCTCAGGCACATCAACAAGTTTCCGGAGCATGTGCTGCGTCATGTCCAAGGGAAACGCTATCAGAAGGCCCTCAAAAGATGTAAGCTGCTTTTCTGAAGATACAGTCATCCAACCTTTTTCTTTCTCAGAGAGGATGGCTCTTGCATCCAGCAGTTTCTCTATTAAAATCTGCTCTATCTTTTGTAGTCCCATAATATCAGTCTCAATTATATGAATGCATTAAAGTTACTGCTTACCATGCTTCCGAGTTGTGTGTAATATAGGTTATAGCTGGAAATGACGAAGAATCAAGCGGTGGGGTATCCTTGCTCAGTGCTGGTTTCTATCTCCTGGGATTAGATGAGGAGTGCCAGAAAGAGGGAGTCGAGTATGTCCCTGCCTGCTTGAGACAGAAGCAGCAGCAGAGGCGACGTGCTGATGACCAGGTGAACGGGAGCAGACGGCCTTACAGAAAGGAGGAATTTTGGGAGCCTAAGTCCAGTGACGAGGATGGAGAGGAGACGGATGACAGCATGAGTGACCTGTACCCACGTGAGTAAGAACTGGTATTGCCTGTATCTTAATGGGAGGTTGCTAGTTATTTTTCTATGGCTTCTTTATATTGCTGTCTTCTGGGAAGCTATTGAGGAAAAGCTTACCACCACTAAATATAAAATAGCAGTTATTGCCAAGTGACTTCAATCACAAAATGCAAGGGGAAGATTACAGGATCCCATGGGATTTGCTTCCTTAAGCACTTCTACTTTGCTGATTTCCCACAGAATAAAGTTAGGTAAAACTTAAGTAGCAGTACTGCAGTAGCTTACTGCAGAGGAAACTGCTCCCTAGCCGGGTCTTCTTGTTTCAGCTGAACTCTTCTCAGAAAAAAGCCCAGCAGCTCCCCAGGATGCTGAGAGCACCGATGGCTTCGCATCAGACAGCGAGGAAGACGCGGCCGAGCTGACGGGGAAGAATGGTGATGTGAACAGGGAGGGCAGCAGGAGAAGGAACATTAGCAGAGCAGCTGGCAACAAGAGGGGAAAGGTAGGAGCTTCACTGCCACATGTGACAGCAGCAGGGTGGGAACAGCCTTCCTGCCACGTGGGCCTTTGTCTCATCCACTACTGTGGGAGAAAAACCAGCAGGTTCCAGCAGCAACTAAGGATGTTATTGCCCTTATACGTATTTGTATAGAAGTTGCTTGAATCCTGCTGCAGGCTGTCTTAAGAGGGAGGCTGAATGTATCAGGTGGGTCCTGGGTTCCCCCTGCAGACTAGTTAAACCTCCTTGAATGCAAGTTACAGGATGCAGTTTAGTCCTTACAGATCTTTTTTTTCTTTGCCTCTTGAGGAACTGGTAAAGCTTTGCCTTTGGATGTGCTTACAGGAGGATACATCCTGATCCTCTGCAGTTTGGAAAGCAGCTGGATTAGAATGCTACATCCATGAACTACTTATAAGCCTTTAAATGGCAGTCCTGAGGGAGGGATTCTTTCTCTTTCTGACTGCATCAAACTGACTGGTTCAGAAACATTTCTAGGGGGAGGTTGTTTGTGTCTAATGAAACCACCACAGGTCTGTTGGAGAAGGGGATGCTACTTCACATCCCTGCCACAGGGACACGTCCTCACTGACCCCATGTCCTCTGCAACTAAGGCTATGCTTAATCCTGTCTCACCTGACACAGAACATGATTTTAAAGAAGTTTAGAGTAATCTCAGGCAGGGCTGCATTTATTTTTTTTGAAATAAAAGCTGATTAATTTACTCTCTCCACAGAAACAGTCAGGTGCTTTAAAGAAGAAATTCAAGAGTCATCATGGAAAACCCCCAGATTTCAAGAAAGCCACCACTGGCAAATAAATTTTATGACAAAAAAAAACCCTCTATGGCCTGAAGCCTGGTGTTTAACAGTTCTAGAGGATGCACAGGATTGTCTAAAGTGCTTGCTTCCTAAAGACCTTCCCGTTTTTCAGTGAATGGAAGAGAAAGCACATGGGATTACTGACCAGCTTCTCCAGGTAACAAAGCTATGCGGTGTCACCAGCTCACACACTCCAAGTGGATACAAAGATGCCATTATTTTATTTTGATTGTTTCCAAAAATCAAAACATTTTCAAACACAACTAAGGTACAAAATACAGCATAAAATGAGAATTTACTTATTTCTTTTTCCACATAGAAAGCAAAAATATATTCAGAATGAATTCCAGAACACTTTGCAGAGCCAATTAATAGCCGAGATCCTGCTTGTGAGAGCTTCACAGCCACTAGGAGAGGTCAAGGTATTTGGGGGAGATAAATGAATACAGCAGTGTGTATGAGACTGCACTCTTCCATATCATGACTCACAGTTAATTAAGTTTGGATATTGTGCTGCCTGGAAGTGTCTTAAAATGCCCTCCACCTAACTGGGCCCCTATTGTACTGTAAGACTTCTGCTGTAAGGGACAGTATCATTCCCTTTTCTGGTACCTCAACTGATTTGTCTTTTACTGGACTTCATTTTCACAAAGTGGAGTCTAGTCAGTGATTCCGACTAGTCAGTCATCCAGCTCCTTAGACATGACGTAAAGAAAGAACAACAACAAAAAAAGGAAGTTAACCAAGTGCTCCTTACAGAACTTGTTTCTGCTATTCAGTTTATAAATAGTATGAACATCAACAGATATGTGAACAGGGTTGCCTTGATATAGTCAAAAATAGCTATTTATAGAAACTGCAGGGAAATTGAGCAAAAAGATCCTGGGTTGCATATTAGGAGTTGAAAGGACCAGTTTGTTTTGATATGAAGAGACAGGCATAATGAGAACACTCGAGGTGAAGAATTCTCTCCTGCAAAACCTCTTTTAGAGGAAAAAGTCTTCTCTGACCTATGCTGGTTTCCTCTCCGATCTGTTCCCCCCAGACCAGTAAGCTTTCTTCAGCAGCAGCATGTAGGGGTATTTTCCCTTAAAATGATGAAATCACTGGTTTAACAAATGGAAATGCCCTCTATTTGCCATCCCTTCTCAGCATAGTTTTCTAACTGTTAAGCTGAACCGTTAGTGTCCTTACCAGACAACCTGGCACTAGTCCCTTCAGCTGAATGACTCCTTGAACAAACAGCTGAGCAGCTTTCTTGAAGGAGACAGCAGTGCTAGAAACTCCCTGCAATGTGAGCAAGCTGGTAGGGCTCATGCTTTCTAGAGTCTAAAATGCTTTTGTGATCTAGTCAAACAACTTCACCTAGGTTTACTAGCAGGACAAGAAAAAAATTCCTCCTTCTAGCAGCACTAACTGCATGTTTGTGGCACAGAGGTTGTGGCACTGAGAGGTGGAATCAGGCCCTTCATCTCTCACCCTTAAGCCTGAGTTCCTCCTTCTTAACATGCAAGTTACCTCTCCTGACAGCATGTTCACTGCACAGGTTTTGTACATGTGTTCTTCAGCTAGAACCATTACCTGTCTGCCACCTTCTTTCTCTCCACACCTCACTGCAGTCCAAGATGTTGCAGAGAAGGGGCTTGGGCTCTCAGCTCAGCAGAATCCCAGCTCTTCAGTCACCTGGAGCTTTTGCAGCAGAGAAACTAATGAAAGGCTGGGAAGCAAAGAGTACTGGAGATTTGGAGACTGACTGCACTCAACTTGCATCTACTGAGGGCAAGATTATAAAAAGAGGGCAGGGGGAGTTTCCATAGCTCTTAAGACACTTTCTTCAGTAACAAACTGTAGTTCAGATCCTGATCTGGGGCATACACAAAAGGAAGCTGGTCGAGAGCAGAAAGGACCTTTTATTGTGGGAGCTGTAGCACAACTTGGCTCCCACATTGGAAATTTAGGAGGAAAAAAACTTTGTGGACAGAGTAGTGAATAAAGAGTTATTTGGCACAGAATTTTATTAGAATCTAATATTCAGTCTCTTCAGAAGTCTCTCCCCCTCCCTTTTTAAAATCTGATGAATAATATAGAATTTCCCCTTGCTCCCCTCAAGAACAGTATTGTAAACCTTAACATTAGAAAGCCTGTCTCTTTTCTCACCTAAAGAAGGGTACAGCTGCTTTCAGGGTGGTCTTTATGCCTTCTACTTGGGGGCAGGAAAAGCCTCCCTCTTTCTCAGAGGCCTGTAATACCATTTTATCAAAAAAAAAAAAACATAGCTACATAACAGCAAGTTCTCTTGATGCTGTTTTCCACTCAGAGAAGCAATGCTACAACCAGCAACTGAACTCCTTCTACGCAACACAGGTCTGATGAGGGTGAGAAAGGGGCCTACTGGAGTTACAGCTAAAACCCAACAGCACTGAGTGAAACAGCTGTATCTGCTCACAGTACTTGAAATTAAAACATTGCTGACAGAAACAGCAACCGTTCTACTGCAGTTCACTGACGCATCAGTAAAGTGCAGGTTCCTTGGGTTAGTTCCAATTCTAGGAAGTTAGAACAATAAACCTAGGCAACATTCCTTGAAGAAGTGGGACTTTATCTATTAGATTACTGGTGCCACTGTAAATCAAATTCTCGAAACATCTGTGCCTTTAATAGGAAGGGGGCATGGTACGTGTAAAATGCTGGCAGTTTTTGTTGAATCCATAGAGAATCAGTCCTGGACTTAATATGTTATGTCCCAAGAAGTGTTGCTACTCCTGTTACCACTCTTTCTTCTTCTCATCCATGGAGACTCCACCAGGACCCAGTGCAACCACGAGGAGGAGCCCTCCAATTACAGACATGGTCTGGAAGAAATCGTATTTGAGGAAGTCATGCATGGGCTTGTAAGCTGGGATGGTCCAGAAGGCATTGAAGTAGATGTTGATGCCAAACAGCCAGATGACGAGCGTCAAGGCAGCCAGCTTAGTCTTGAAGCCAATTGCCACTAAGATAATCAGGGCCGTGCCCACAATGTTCTGCAAAATCTGCAGGAAGAGAAGGAGACAGGGTTACAACATGGTTCTGAAATGGATACGCAGACAGCAGAACACAGCACGAGCCAGTCCTGCAGAACAGGCTTTGATGATCTGATCATAGCTTTGTTCTAAATACTAATTTTACCAAAAAAGAAAAGGAAAAAAAAAAAAAGACACACAAGCAAGAAGCATTGAGACCCTACAGCTCTTTTACCGCTACTCTTACACTTGGTTACTTACAGAAAAGAAGTTCATATCAAAATGTAGCAGCGTCATGAACATGAGGACCAGCAGCACACGGCCTCCCAGCTGCATGTACTGTTTCGGGGAGCTTTCCCGCATGGTGGGGACGCCAGCAAACATGCTCTTCCCTTCCGAGCGCGACTCGGCCAAAAGCAGCAGCAAGCCTCCCCCAAGGGCAAGGTTCCTAAGGAAAGACAGCAATGGAAAAGCAGTATTTTACTACAGTTTGCACCCATTTATAAGTTTACAGACAACTGCATCAAAGAGTTCTGCATGTTCAGTAATCATTTTCTACCAGTGGTTGTCAGTGACAGACAGGAGTTTTTGTGAAGTTTAAAAGCAGACATACCTCATCAGAAACTTCAGGTCCCATAGAATGCTGTATGCAATAGTCTAGGCAAAGAACAATAGATGTTAAAACACCCTAATATGAACTGAAATTCTGAGTGTACATTACACCATCAAACATTAACAACCCAATGCAGAAGCCCATTAGAAGTACATGATACTGCAGGAAACAGGGTACACGATCAGAGCCTTGCGTGTCAGCGTGGAAGAGCTTTGTGCTTTGGTCAAGAAGGTTTTGGAGAGAGTGCACTATTAGGCAGGACTCTTTCTGATGCAGACAGTCCTTCGTATAGTGAAGGCCAAAGCAACTGCAGGTTCCACACTTGGGAGCTTTCTGATGTGCAGGTAACAGCAAGTTACTTCTAAACTGGTCAAGGTTTGAAGCAACATCAAACTGACTGATTGCTCTTGCATTCAAGGACCCATTGGTCACGTCAAGAACAGAAGCAGCAAAACAGCTCAACGACACTGGCATCAGGCTGGAATGGAGAAGAATTCCAGGACCATGGATTATACTTCAGTACATTGGTGGTATGGGGGCTAAGAGGGATGATTTGAAGGACAGGATGTAGAAGTTCTGAAGACTTATAGCCTCCTACCTGTAATGCTATAATTCCAAACAGTCCAAAGCAGGCATATTGCACAAAGTTCCTACTGAGTACCAGGATACAGCCACCTGAGATAGGGAAATTGAACATAATTACACTTCTGGCTTGCAGAGCAAAAGATGCCACATGAAAGATGACTTGTTCTGAACTTTAGCAGACTCAGGATTTACTTCAATTACGCCACAAAGAACATTAGGTAGGAAATTTTAATGGCATGAGACAAATCACTTTTAAAGATGTCCTAACACTTCTTGGTTTTCAGTGTTTCCAGAAGTAACCCCTTATTCCACAAAGCATATCCTGAATGCAGGCTCCAGCAGACAGTATTGTACAGCAGTCAGTGTTAAAGCATTAAGAAAAAATACAGGAAAAAAAATCAACTAACCATGTATATATACATTTTAATACAGGATGGCTGTTAGGATAAACATATTATGTTCCTTCTCCTAGAGGAGTTACAGGAACAAGAGCTTTTTCTTTTCTCTCTCCTTCACAAAGCACTGACAGCCTTTGCCACTTTGATGATCTCCACAGTGAGGACTGGTAACTAGATTAAATTGAGTGGGAAAACAGAAAAAAAATACAGGGAGAAAAAAACTAGACACAAGACAGAGCAATGGAAAACATTAAATCAGGGACATAATATAAATGGAAAAGTTTTACTTCTGTCTCCTTTAATGATGCTGGAGGCTCACCCAGCTCACACACAAAAGTTCCACTGGGTTTAGTTTGTTTTGATTCCTGGGCTTTGCAGACGTAATATCTCAGATGCAAGAT